TTAAAGGGTTTTAAAAAAGAAACAAAGAGAGAAGAGACTAGAGTAGTATGAACATAAAATAATAATAAGACAATTTTCAACGTGTACAACAACAATAAAGGGGAATTTGATTTAAATCTTCAAAATAGTCCTAAATTGTATTCACCTTTTTTTATTTTTTGCAGATATTCATGAATACAAAAAAAAATGTTTGCACTATTTAAGGTTATTATGAATACCTGGGTAGCCTTGATTTGACTTGATTACTTTAGTTGACGAATTTTAAGCTTTCTTGTGTACATTTTAAAAAAAATCGTTAATAATAAATGAAAGCATCGAGATCTTAAAAAAAAGCGAAGAAACATATTGTTTTGTGTTTTTGTTGTTGGGTCGTCTTCCATCGTGCGTAATACCTTCTGGAGTGAGCCTATTATGACTGTTATTGTTTTTATTTCCGTATAATAACATCGGTTAAAATACATACAAAGTAATCATACGAACAAAAGGAAAAAATACGGCTGGTACCCATTTTCAGCTGCAACTATATTGTTGCTGCTCTCCTCCTCTTTCTCTTTCCTCCTCATCTTTCTCCTTCCTCCTCATCTCTTTCCTTACGTTTGTTTCCCTTCCCTCTCTTCCCTCTAAAAGATTTCCCTTTTGGTCCCATGTTTCTTCGACAGGAGATGCACCCTCGACGAACTCTATGAACAGAGTGAGGATTTTAAAAACGCTAAAACCCCTCCACACAAACAGACCTTAGCTATCATAATTTGCATAAACTGTGTACGCACACCTTACGAGCACCTTACGCACGCCTTACGAACGCCAGGAGTCGTCCGTACGAAGACAATTAGAATCTCCGCTCGTAAGGCGTTCTTACAAACGCCGTAAGAGCCCTCTATGAACAACTTGAGGCGTGCTTACGGTCATCGTAATAATTCGAAGCTTCTAGAATTGTCCCTCGACCCTACGAAATGTATTAAGATCTTGCGTGGTTCTTACGATGTAATTACGGCGTTCGTATGGCCGCCTTACGAAGAGAGGGTTTCGTACGATGTTAAAAAAAATCTTGGACAAGACCATCGACCAATCTGCGATCTTACGAACGGTCTACGAACGGTCCACGAACGCTGGTTTCGTACGGCCTTCTTAAGAAGATCTTACGAAATGGTCTGAAAAATCGTTCGTACGGCGTTCGTAGCAGCCCGTAAGGGTATTTGTGACCGAGGCTTTAGCTGTTAACGAAGATGAATTGATAACGAAAATTATTTTCCCCATATTTTACTTTGTGAACGAAGATGAATTCATTCTCATTTTACTGTGTTAACGAAGATTAATTTATCCTCATTTAGCTGTGAACGAAGATTAATTTTTCCTCATGTAGCTGTTAAATGAAGATGAATTTACCCTCATTTAGTTGTTAAATGAAGATGAATGTTGCGTTTGCCGGTTGTTGCCCTCCTACTCCCACCTGCCTCCTGAATTGCTCCTTTAGAAAGCAACATGAGCTCATCGAAGCCCCATTGTTCATCATCGTAAACAAAATATGTTCAATCAAACACCTGTGGTTCCTTCTGGATACTTTCAAATGTTGAATTTATTTCATTTGATGTGATTTGAGTTAATGCTAATTTATTTCCATATACATGTTCATCACTTTTATAGTTACAATCCTGTTAATGTTTGGAATTTGTATTAGGTTTTTGTGTTTGATTGATTGATTTACCAACAGCAAATAAGTACCATGCATTTCATACAACGATATTTATATGTACAAGAAGAGAAAATATTGGTTGGTAAAAGGGGCTAGATAATATTATATTTGCTAGCCGATCCTAACGCATTCGACTAAACAATGTAATTTGTACAAGTAACCTTCGGGAAAAAAAAAGGAATGTACCATTACAATCGATACTAAAACATAGATTTCTTTAACAATGTCTTACAAGATACAAACTTATAATATCAAATAGAATTTTTGTACATATATGGACTATTTGCATAGATTTTGTATTGATGATTTGATCAACAAATGTGTTGTAACAGAATCTGACATTAGCAGGTAATCTATTCCAAAATTTTTGTTACCACAAAAGACAATAATAAGACGTATAATCGACCTTGTGTCGTTTTAAATTTTTTAAGACGTATAATTGACCACTTTCTGTTCGCCTTGTGGAGTAGCTTTATTCTTGAATATTACAGTAATTTATCAAAATATGAGGAAACATATTATTTAAAAGAGCTAACATGAAAGTAGAGATTGTTAAATCATCCATATTATACAAAGTTAGGATTCGCAATCTTTTAAGTAGGGGAGCCGTAGGAGTTCTACACTTTCTAAATGCACAAAAAGCACGAACTGCCATAATGATAACTATATAAATGTAAAAGAAGAGAAAATATTGGTTGGTAAAAGGGGCAAGATAATTATGTGCTAATCGATCCACACGCCTTACAGCTAAACCAAGTTTTATGTACAAGAAATCTTCATAAGAAAAAAAAATGAATTTACCATTATACAATCGATACTAAAACAATGTCGTACAAGATACAAACTGATAATATGAAATATAATTTGTATAGACTATTCGCATGGATTATTAATTCATGATTTAATTCAAGTGTTGTAACAGAGTCTGACATTAATATGTAATATATTCCAAAGTTCACTAACCACAAAAGACAATGAAAATCGACCTTGTGTCGTTCTAAATTTTGGAAAACGTAATTTTCCACCTTCTGTTTGCCTTCTGGAGTAGTACAAAAGAAAAGGCACATTTTTATTAAACAGATCAATCATCCAAATTATGCAAAGTTAGGATTCGCAATCTTTTAAGGAGTGGAGCTGTAGGATTTTTCCACTTTCTAAATGCAAAATAAACACGAACTGCCATTTCTGTAAATACAATATGCTTCTTAATAGGCTAACCTTATATTGCTTCCCCACACCTGTGTGGTTTTATCCACGTTTTATATGATAATGCATAATGTCAAAGTACGCCTATAGGAACAAAATGTTGCAATCCTGATACACTGATAAACATAACGAATATGACTATTCCATGGCAGATGTCTATCATAAGTGGCAATATCAACCTCTTGGATTTCCTTTCCAGCTATTTTCAGTTTACCATTTATACCTACATGAAATACGTTTTCATTGAATTGATTGTAAGTTTATAAGCAATGTACCACTTTTCATTTTGTTGTTAATTACTTTATCCACATAAATTTCGCCCTGGTCAGCTGGAAAAGTATGAATTATGTTAGAATCATCGGCAAACAGCCGCAAATTGAAAAAAATTAGGTACTGATGGCAGATCAATTATAAAAAACAGAGTTGGCCCCAGTACTGATCCTTGTGGAACACCACGTCTTATCTTATATCGTATTGATAACGTTTAATCACATTGAACAATTGGTTACTAAGATCGTACTTAAACCATGCAAAAGGTTAAACTCGATTGCCATGATTAGAGAGTTTAGCTAGCAGTATATTAAGATTAATGGTGTCAAAATTGCTTTCTTAAAATCGATTAATATGCCAAGAGTGATTCTCACTGCATCGTTCCTGTAAAAGTAACCAATATAATAATCTTGATGCAGCGAAGCATATAAGAGGGTAAAAATTTACCCAATACTGGGTATAATTTACTCAAAATTGGATAAGGTTTACGCAATATTGGGTAGTAATATGCCCAACAAAGTGGTTTAAAAAAGAAAATTGGGCTGAGATCTAAGTTTTCTTTTAAACATGATTTTAGACCCTGGATAGGACTAACATGAATTAGGAGAATACGGACCTTATAGTATACCTTTATTATGTTTCGAGCAAATCTAATGATTGTTAAAAGAAAAAAAAGACAGGTAGTTGGTGAATTACAACAACCATAATGCTATGTTCATAGGTTTTATGAATAAAGAGGTATAGACCCTGGATTAAAGGGTGATATGGAACAGATCGAGCCTGTTCCCTAATCACTGGAGTCTGTGTCATCATCTTCCATTTGATCCTTCCGAGGATCAACTGACTTTGTTCTCTCAGACGCGTAGTTCTCGCAGAGATCTTGGCAATCCCCACGATTCATGCGTTCGAACGCCTTGGCCAAGTCCCCAAGGTTCCGAATCTTCTTTTGACTCTCAGCAAGAACGAGTAGTTCTTCAGTCTGATTCTTGCACTGCTCCAGGGATTGTATGTAGTCTTGAAGTCCAAGCTGATTGGCAAGACCCCTCCAGTCATCAAAAACTGGGCTTTCTCTGTTCAACCGACAGCGCAGCTCATGCTGTAGCATAGGAGGTACTATGGAAGCAATTGGAACAGGGGGAGAGGCAACAGTATTTCCGTGAGGATTATTCCCTTGGGGATTGTGGATGACCATCTCTCGGACGTAGATATTGACGTTCCCAGAACGCTGGTGCACTGGATCTGCTAAAGATCCCGGAACCAATTCTTGGACAACGTTTGCCGCAATTGCTTGTGGGGCTAAGACTCCCATTGCCTCCTCTGCTGCAGACTCCAATGAATAGTCGGGCACTGTCGATGATGTCGGAGCTTAAATCAAAACGAACAAAAAGATGATATGTCGTAAAATAATTACATCGTTCAAATTACGGAAGAGCGTGTGAAGGAAATAAGCGTATATAACAATTATATGTGCTTCTAAAGTACTTAAGATGTTATTAACCCGGTTAAGTTCCAGCAACCATTTCAGGTAGCCTAACCACTATTTACACATGGGACGAGTGTAGCATATATAGATAATGTTTTTTTCCAAAGGATGTTCGTTCGCTACTATTATGTAACATAAAATAAAATGTCAGTAAATATTAATCTTAAAGTTTCGATTGATTGAGGAGATAAGATAAATTGTTGGGAGATACAATTGGCTGTTTTGTGGTAACAGCTCCTTACCAATTGCTCCCGGCTCTGTTACGTAATCATATGTGACTTGGTAGGCATGTTCACGTGACAGTGACCCTGTCGATGTTGGAGTCAACGGTCTAGGTCTTGTAAGGAATCAGTAGGACTACTTCTATCTGAAATAAAGCAATGTAAAAAAAAAGCTTTAAGAAAATGATTAAACCAGACTCCGACTTGTGCTGTAAAGAACTCTGACTGATCCATTATCTATCGCAAGTCGACCCTTGAATTGTATGTTATTACTTTTTTGTTTTGACATGATTGAGATAATATCATGGAACATGGAGTGAAGAGATGAGATTTTACAGAGTAAAAATCATACGATATAAAAATACATCAAAAATATAGTAGGATATGATTTAAAACAAAGGCCATTTTCAAGAATATAGGCCGCAATAGCGGTTCTAATGCCCCTCCCCCCTCCCCCCCCCAAAAAAAAAAATAAGCACGCGTGTATTCCTCCAGAACCGCTCCCTGGGCCATAGTCTTACCCTTTGTGTCTGCAGGCTCAGGTGATGTTGAACCTATTGTTTCAAGATGATGCCCGCTTCTCGTCAGCTCTTCGGGGAGCTGAGATGCTGAAAATGTAATAATCAATCAAATCAGAATAGCATAAATAAAAAAAGCGTTTCATCTTGCACTCATGAGAGTAAATCGCAAGATTAAAAGCTTCATCTGTGTGTCTCCTTACAATGTTATTATTTCGATTTTGTTCAAATCGTCTCAAAATAAGGACATTGTTTCACGTTATAAGCTCGCCGATATCCCATTGAAAGCGTGTTGATTTTTTTTCTCACTTGTACCCATATAACGGTTTCGTAAAAACGATGCCCGGCATATCGAAAAGTTTGTGTATGAGACAAACAAAACAAATACAAGGAAAAAATAGTATTAATATATATTTACTGAATCTCACATTTGGATGTTCCCCGTCCAACATCAGTTGGTTCAGCTTTGCCTTTGGACGATGCAGATTCTTTCGGAGTTGATTTGGCATTTGGATTCTCATGCGGCACATCTAAATTGTGAATACATAATATCAACGTGATGAGAGGCGATTAGCCTAAAATGATTATTATTCCAAATTGGAGTCACTTGCCATGGTGCTTTTGCTACACTAAAATGAACTGTACAGCATTGCACGTAAAAAATAATGTACATAATACAGGGTGGCCCTATATAAACGGACTAGCATAGTTCCAATGGTATTGGTCAAATTCACTAGTACCAGCAGTAGTAGAATCATATCACATGAAAAAATGATACCAGGATCGACAAAACTGGTAAAGGGTTCTTTTTTTTTTCAGGAGCTTTTTTGTTTAGTATCAATAAAAATGCGTTTTCTTGAATTCGTAAAATCTTACGTCTTTCTTACACAACTTATTCCAAACGCCTAAAAAGAAAGAAATAGTGTTTGTGGAATGTTATGTTTGTGTTAAATCTGATGTTTTGTCACAGCTTGTCCTAAGCTCAGGCAAATAACCATTCCTAAAACTGCACAAGAATAAGCTTTTTTGTGCCAGTGGAGGTCTTTAAACCACCCCTACCCCCAAAGGAGTTCATGCCCTTGATATTACCGTTGTACAGTACTTTGAAGGCGATACGCTTCGTGATTTTTTGCTTCAAGATGAATTTGACGGGAACTTCAGATGCTTCACGTGGCTGAAGAGTGAACGGCATCCGGTGGGTCGTCATGTGAAAGAAAGCACATTCTTCAAGTTCCTGTAAAACAAAATCAGAGATAACCATGACTTAACACCCTACGAAATGATCAATAATTCATTGTATTTTCCCCCGGTCCCCAGCGGAAAAAGATCCTTTGTGGTCATGCCTTGAACCATAATGCATGGCCGTACAGAGGATTTTTTTCTGTTGGGGACCGGGGGAAATTCAATGAATTATTGATGATTTATTGCATTTTCTTTGTTTTGTTTTAATTTGTTGGGGCTGCCCCCTATCCTAACCCCCGCTGTAAACAGTCACGATTCAGTGGCAAAGCAATGGCCTCGTAACTTTGAGTCCCCAGGTTAAAAATATATATATTAGACTATGCCGAATAAGAAACGGACGATTTGTTTGTCAGGATAATTTACTTCGGGGGAAACTACAGTATCAAATATATTGAGATTCTCACCTGTGTTGACACTTCGTCTTCGTTTTCCAAATGTCGGACAAATAGGGTTCCTTGTCCCCAATATACACAGTACTGCTCACCAGGAAAGGCTACCTTGTAGTCTTGTATGGTATCCTGCAAAAGGTTGAACATATATGGATCCATATTGAAACAATGATGATGACAATAATAGTAATAATAATAATAATAGTTGCAATAATTGTAATAGTGCTGTTCTTCCAGAGGGCACTGCAATGTACTGCAGCAATTGCAAGGGACTCAGATACACCTGGGTGGTAAAAATGGATGATCCTTTTATGAATCTCGAGCTAATTATTTACTTCAAGATGCGAATGTTTATCAGTTTTTAATATTATATCTGTATCTTTTTGGATATTTGTTGTGATCACCCTGCCCCCCCTTCCCCCTCCGACCACGGACCCCTCTGCTAAGAAAACGTTACACAAACAAGTATTGACATCGTAACCACTGGAAGACCGGGGGCACAACAAAAGGCAATTAAAAGAACATGGTAAAAAAACGTTCCGTCCCAATTCCAGTGTTTGCTATAAACTGCATGGAGTTACTAAAGGATTTCCTGTCCATTTCAACATTTATTCATTTGAATTCTTTTTCAGATAACATAATACCGAACTGTTAATTCATGATAAATCTACCTCTTTCATGCCGCAGAAGTCGTCTTTAATAATTAGCAAGATGTAGTTCATGACATCTCTGGCTGTTGACAGGGGAACGTAGGGCGTACAGATGAGCCGTTTACCGATGAAGTATCTCCTGATTAAGGAGATAATCCACCATTCCGAGAAATGATCTAAGTACAGAGTAAGGTGATTTTTGGCGACTACACACCGATCAGCTTTGTCAGAAGCAAGAACTATCCTTGAAAATTCATCAGACTCTGTCAACAACAACAACAAAAGAGAGGGAACCGTGTTAATTTTGTTACGCAGTGAAATGTCATACTCTCTGGGATTTACTTTCACAAATAAAGAAATGAAATAAGTTTTGCGGGTTCACTGAGGAGCCTTGTTGGAGGGTAATTGTTGACGATGATGATCAATGACGTAAACAGAAATGTCAAATGCTTTTTGGTAATTGGCTATTAACAAAATGTTTTATGCATTAAATCATTCTCATATTTTCCTTCGATCTTTCTACAAGAATCCCGAAAAGAGCGCCTGTTTGAACTGTGCTATGTAAAAGTTATTCAAACACAAAGACTGAAACAGTGTTTATTTCAAGCGAATTTCTTTTCTAATAGAAATTTATCAAGTAAAACTCAGTGAATAAGAACATTCCCAGAGGAATATCAACATTGAAGTGAGGTCATATGATATCAAGAATAGTAGGGAAGGATTTTGTGTGAAGATCTCTGTCATAATTGTGATGGGTTCGTCGTGGCAGTCAGGGGCTCTCTGCACTGTCACAATAAGAGAAAGGAATTTATATGGAAATATGGGATCTATGATAATAGGAAGATCTTGCCAGTTCTTTGGGTGTATAGCACAATTTCTGCCTTGTCTGGGTTGGTGAAAATAGCGCTATGCGAGACCGTGACTTCTACCGGAGTTTTAAACTGAAGACCAGGAGGAGATAGCTTGAGCCCAACTGAGATGATAACTTCGTCTTTTTCCAGCTTTAAGTCAGGTGGAATGGTTGTCAATGCTTCTGCTGTGATATATGTGGCTTTGTCCACATCGTCTGGTGAAATTGGAACCTTGATGCTGTACTCGTCCAGACTTATAATCTTTGTCTCTTCTGTGATACTCTTCCTCGAGGAGCTAGAGCTGTCTCGTGGACTGGTAAGATATGGATCGTATGGTGGGGAGTATGAGTGGGGCATAAAGCTAGGGAGAGCCTCACCACCAAAAGTACTGCGAAGGTAGTCATAGTGGTCCTCTTCATTAGCAAGTTTCCCCGGGTCTGCACCTTTACTAACAAGGTATTTGACAATATCAAGATGACCATTGAATGATGCTTTATAAAGAGCTGTAACCCCATCTTTATCACCAATTTCAATGCCAGCTCCTTTGTTCACGATATACTCGACGACTTCAAGGTGACCTTTTTGAGAAGCACAAGACAAGGGTGTCCTGCCTTTCTTGTCACATTTGTCAAGCTGCGCCCCTTTCATAACAAGGTATTTGACAATATCAAGATGACCATTGAATGATGCGATGTGAAGAGCTGTAAACCCATCTTTATCACTAATTTCAATGCCTGCTCCTTTGTTCACGATATACTCGATGACTTCAAGATGGCCTTCCTGAGAAGCACAAGAGATGGGTGTCCTGCCGGTTTTGTCACATTTGTCAAGCTGTGCCCCTTTGCTAACAAGATGATGCACTATTTCAACGTGTCCATTGGACGATGCGATGTGGAGTGCTGTTAACCCGTCTCGATTACAGTTATCAATATTTGCTCCTACGTTCAGTAAGACCTCGACAATACCCAAATGGCCTCTTTTTGCTGCGAGAAACAAGGGTGTCATCCCGTTCCTGGGTTCATTGTCAATCTCTACCCCTCCGTTAACTAGAACTTTGACAATATCAAGGTGTCCCCAAAATGAAGCCAAACTAAGTGCGGTCCATCCATCGTCAGCGCTTCTATCCAGCTGTGCTCCTTGACTGGATAGATATTTTACTCTATCAATATTACCAGCTTTTGATGCAGTATGAAGAGCTGTATATCCACCTTTACTACACGTGTTAATGTTGGCTCCTTTTGTCAAAAGGTACTCTGCAATGTCAAGATGGCCACCGTCTAAAGCAAGGTGTAAAGGTGTCCAGTAATCATTATCAAGTCTCTCCAGCTCTGCCCCTTTACTAACAAGGTATTTGACAATATCAAGATGACCCTCGAGTGATGCTATGTGAAGAGCTTTATCACCAATGCCAATGCCTGCTCCTTTGTACAAGATATACTCGACGACTTCAAGATGGCCTTTTTGAGAAGCACAAGACAAGGGTGTCCTGCTGTTTTTGTCACATTTGTCAAGCTGTGCCCCTTTCCTAACAAGGTATTTGACAATATCAAGATGACCCTTGAATGATGCTATGTGCAGAGCTGTAACCCCATCTTTATCACCAATTGCAACGCCTGCTCCTTTGTCCACGATATACTCAACGACTTCAAGATGGCCTTGTTGAGAAGCACAAGACAAGGGTGTCCTGCTGTTTTTGTCACATTTGTCAAGCTGTGCCCCTTTCATAACAAGGTATTTGACAATATCAAGATGACCCTTGAATGATGCTATGTGAAGAGCAGTTAATCCATTTTTATCAACGATATCAATGCCTGCTCCTTTGTTCACGATATACTCGACGACGTCAAGATGGCCTTCTTGAGAAGCACAAGACAAGGGTGTCATGTTGATGTTGTCACATTTTTCAGACTGTGCCCCTTTGCTAACAAGATGATGAACTATTTCAACGTGTCCATTGTACGATGCGATGTGGAGTGCTGTTTGCCCGTTTCGATTACAGTTATCAATATTTGCTCCTACGTTCAGTAAGACTTCGACAATACCCAAATGTCCTTTTTTTGTTGCAAGACACAAGGGTGTCATCCCGTTCCTGAGTGCTTTGTCAACCTCTACTCCTTCGCTAACGAGAACTTTGACAATGTCAAGGTGTCCCCTAAATGAAGCCAGACTAAGCGCGGTCCAGCCATCCTCAGTGATCTTATCTTGGTCTGCTCCTTGACTAGTTAGATATTTCACTCCATCAATTTTACCAGTTTGTGATGCAGCATGTAGAGCTGTACATCCACCTTTACCACACGTGTTAATGTTGGCTCCTTCTGTCAAAAGGTACTCTGCAATGTCAAGATGGCCACCGTTTAATGCAAGGTGTAGAGGTGTCCAATAATCATTAGCAAGTCTATCCAGCTCTGCCCCTTTACTAACAAGGTATTTGACAATGTCAACATGACCCTCGAATGATGCCTTGTGAAGAGCTGTAAACCCATCCGTGTCACTAATTTCAATGCCTGCTCCTTTGTTCACGATATACTCGACGACTTCAAGATGGCCTGCTTGAGAAGCACAATACAAGGGTGTCCTGTCGGTTTTGTCACATTTGTCAAGCTGTGCCCCTTTCTCAACGAGGTATTTGACAATGTCAAAATGACCCTCGAATGATGCTATGTGAAGAGCTGTAAACCCATCTTTGTCATCAATTTCAATATATGCTCCTTCGTTCACTAACAGCTCTATCACATGAAGATGGCCTTTCTTTGAGCATAAGTGAACCGATGTCTGTAGGTTAGCATCGATTACATTCACTTTTGCTCCATGATGGGTAAGGCATTTAACCGTTTGCAAATGTCCATTTTCTGAAGCAATGTGGAGTGGTGTCCTGCCAAATATATCCGTGCAGTTTACATCAACTCCTCCCGAATCCTCTGACTTGTCTTCTGAGTCGATTAATGATTGTATCTTCTGGACGTCTCCTTTTGCCGCTGCAGAAAACAGCGCCATGTTAAACGTAATTCACACCCACAACGTTTTTCTCTCTATGATATTACCGTGCTTTCCAAACACTATATTACTTATTGTAATGTGACATTGAACTACTGTGTAAATTAGCCCGTACCCTTTAGTAGCGATGAAATTTTATCTATTCTGAAGGAGCATTCAAGCGTGATTATATGAAAGCATAGTTCCGTATTCGGCATTAGAAATCTGCATACATTACTGTACTGCGTACTGCAACAATACAGTCTTATTGCCTTCCATTTCTCTGTATTTTTTGTGGGCCTGAAATATACCTGGTTTTAAATCTGCGCGATAGAAAATGAACATGGCGAATCAATATTGTATTACGCCTCATTCATAACCAGTGCTTGGATATGTAATGATATAACATGGTGATGTAAAATACTCGCTTCATTTATCTAAAATTGGCAGGATATAAACCAAATATGGCAGTATATATCCATCAACTAAGCATTATAAGGTGCTAACAAAGGGTTAATTATTCGTCTCTCTCCATGCACATGTGCACTTCATACTCGAGCCCTTTGCTCAAAATTTCAAAACTTTCATTATTCTCATTTTGAATACATTCTCATAAATCTGTCAGTTAATAAGATGAACTTACATCCTCATTCTTGAGAATAAGTTCTAAATATGAAAAAGCGAAACTTTCATTCACTGGTGGTTCAAATGACAGAAGATGCCAGACCAACAACAGACCGGACACACTATAACATTGCCACCGAATCGCAGAGAATCGGTCGATTTGAAGTCGGTTTGGAGATATGATTAATACCCCAGTCACACTGGCAAACCGACTTCGAATTGAATCCAAAGAGTCCAAACTGACTTATTGTTGGCCTCTGTGGATAATGTTATCGGTTGCCTGATCTGGTCTGGGTGTGGATGTCTTTGTATTTGAGTTGTCGTAGTACGTATTACACTTATATATTTCTTCGAGGATCTTTTTCGGTGGACTTCAACTACTTTAATATCACCTTTATTGTGTATTCTATTAATAAGACAATGTTATGATTTGTTATTGTTGTGTTACTGTCCTCCGAAGTGTTCAGAATATATTATTGTTATATTGATGGATTTTAACAATTTATCATTTCCTGTACTTTTCTTTTCTTAAATGAAAAAAGGAATAGGGAGAAAGACGAAAGATCCCATATATTTTCTGAATGCAAGGATAAATATTCTGATAACGAAGATACATAGAGTTTAATTTGGGTCGAAGTTGTTATTCTAGTCATATACTTTACACATTTAGATTTGATGGATCTTTCTTTAATTTCAGATTAAATCGGGAGATACATTCTAATGAAAGATATTTAACAGGGTTTAAAAATGATGATACATTGTAAATGTATATTTTCCAGTAAGATGAAAGGGTCTACAAAGGCAAGAGTTTTTGCATGAATTTAAAAAGAGATTTGGATAATACGGGTAGGGGAAATGAGATAATTATAATATGAGGATATTTTTTCGTGATGAGTAGTCTGGTATTGGTCTCATTTATTTGATTGGGATATAAGGTTAGAGAGGATTGATCACACATAAACAACAACAATTAAATCGGTCTGTGTAGAATAATGTGTAGACCAGTTCGTAATTAGCACATGGTTCAAATCACCTCAAACAGCCACATATATTTCAAAGTGTGTACAAAGTAACCTAGGTCTTCCCATGTCAAATTGTATAAACGAACTGGAGTACTGGATCCGAGAAAGTCGTTGCTGAAGGTTCATTTGTGGGTTGAAATACCCTTAACATACCTCTAATTCAGTATTCTGAAAGTCTGAAGTTTTCAGATTATCACCCAAACATGTATTGCTTGATGGTACGAAATATATATCTGTTGTTAGTAAATTGCCCCTAGAATAGTCAAAACGTGTGGCGCTGAATTTTTAAAAATAATTGCCAAGAATCGGGTAATTCTCTAAAAACAATCAGCAGTTACCTACATGCAATTTAATTCTAAGAGCGTATACTGATTAGCGTTCACTTTGTTGCCAAATACACACGCATGATACATGTAATAATCTCAGCAATTTATTCTCTTTCTGCCAACATTTATTTGTGTATGAAACCCTTGACTGATGAAACATTGAGAGCTCTACAGAGTGAATCAGAAAAAATGGCCCACTTTTTAAAAGTTGTATTGTTTGAAGTATGAATATTTTATCGTGGATTTCATGATATGTCTTGATAGAGTTATCCTTCCAGTACATTTAGGTACCATTTGTATTTGAATCTCTGCATGCATGACTGAACATCAGACATTCTTTACAAGACTGTCAGATCTCACTTGCGCCAAGTAGCTAGGTAAGTATAAAATAGTGTTTTAAACAAAGACTACCAGACGGACAAACACACACACACACACACAAACACGCGCACGCACAAACACACACACACCCACACACGCACAAACACACACACACACAGGCACACACACACACACACACACACACACACACACACAAATGATCGTTCCATTCCCGACAAGGCCCACCCAAACTGTTATTTTTTGTCGGAATTCTTCTTCTCGTACGAAAAGTTGAGTGGCCGCTGTTCTCTTGTTGCGTATTGGCGGATGTTGTGCTTCATGATGATGATGATGATGATGATGATGATGATGATAGTGATGATGATAATGACGATTAAGATGATGACAACGATGGTGATGATGATATGATGGTGCTAGTGAATGTGTACTAAAGGGAAATATTGTCAGGGTTATATGCCACAGCGATCTTGATAAAAATCATTGGTTAATCAGAAAAGGGGAAATTATTGTCATGGTGTGCGTGTGTTTTTGCGTGTGTGTGTGTCTGTGTCTGTCTGACTGTCTTTATTTAATGCACTGTTTTATTCCTCACCCAGTAACTTGGCGCAGGTGAGATCCGGCAGTCTTGTAAAGATTGTCTGATGTTCAGTCATGCATGCAGAGATTCAAATGAAAATGGTACCTAAATGTACTAGGAGGACAACTCTATCAAGACATATCATGAAACCCATGATTAAATATTCATACTTCAAACATTACAACTTTTAAAAAGTGGGACATTTTTTTTGACTCACTCTGTATAGGACCGCGTTCCAGTCATTGCCCTTTTTGAATGACTGGTATTCTAACGTCATTGGGTGTGCAAATATGTCATTTCTATTCAAACTGAGATTCTCACAATATATTCAATTTAATTCGATTCAATTTATTTCAAACACAAATATAAACACATACCATATAATATATATATAAGATAATATGCTATCCATAATACATTGCATGTAGGAGTGCCCCATGGAAGAAGGCACTAGGAAAAACAGAAAATACTGATATTTTTGTACACAACAAACGAAACAATTGTCCACGGATACATCACAATCCACTGACCCAATTGCCAATTTGAAATTCGCATATAGATTTAGAGATACCTTTTTTTCAAACATTCATAACTGCTTTATTATTCGACCGATTTACTTCAAACGTTTAAAATCATGACTTTCTTTTTTGCTTTCACACAAAATTCATGAACTTATAACAAAGCAGCGCCTGACATACCTATCTATTACGAATATCATCATGATATACATAAAAGTTCAATTAATCCAATGCAATTAAAAATATATATGTTACAGTACATAAAGTATACATAAACAGTATGAAGAAGAATAAACGTCGAATAAAGGTAACATAAAAGACGAACCCCTTTGTAATAAACGTTTGAATAAGAAGGATCTCACACAAATGTTAATAATGTTCAGTTTTTATAAGGAATCCCCTTTATTCCCCGCTATTTGTCAAGTTGTGTTAGTTTAATTAAATGCAAAGAATGCTATCAATACGTCTTGAATGTTGCATTTTCCGGCTGTTGCACCCCCCCCCCCCCGAGGAAAGGCAATAAAATCGCTGGCTTAACATGCAACAGGAGCTCATTGTTTTCATTATCTTAAACAAAATGTTCAATTTAACACCTGCGGTTCCTTCTAGATAATTCAAATCTTGAATTCATTTAATTTGATGTGATTTGAGTTGATGTTAATACATTTCCATGTTCATGTACATCACTTTTCTGGTTACAATCCTGTCAATGTTTATTATTTTTTTCATTCGATTTTTGTATTTGATTGATTATTTACGAACAGCAAACAAGTACTATTCATTTCATACAACCATATTTATATGTACAAGAAGAAAAAATATTGGTTGGTAAATTGGGCGGATAATAGCATATGTGCTAGTCGACCCTAACGCCTTATGCACAGCTCAACAATGTATTTTGTACAAGTAACTTTCAGAAAACAAAACAAAAACAAAGAAATTAATGTACTATTGCAATCAATACTATACAAAAATATTTAACTTTAACAATGTCTTACAAAATACGAAATATAATTTTTGTACACATACAGACCATTTGCATGGAGTTTTGATTCATTATTTGTTCAACAAATGTGTTGTAACAGAATCTGACATTATAGGTAATCAAGTAACTAACCACAAGAGACAATGGAAATCGACCATGTGTCGTTCTAAATTTTGGCAGACGTAATTGTTAACCTTCTGTTTGCCTTGTGGAGTAACTATACTCTAGAATATCACAGTAATCTATCAAAATATAAGGCAAACTTTTATTAAACAGATCAAACATGAAAGTAGTTGAGCTATATGAGTAATTCACTCTTTAAATGAAAAAAGCACGAACTGCTATTTTCTGTGAATACAATATGCTTCTTAATAGGCTAACCTTATATTGCTTCACCACACCTGTGTGGTTTTATCCACGTTTTATATGATAATGCATAATGTCAAAGTACGCCTAGGAACGAAATGTTGCAATCCTGATAAACTGATTTATATAACGAATATGACTATTCCATGGCAGATTTCTATCATAAGTGGTAACATCAACCGCTTGGATTTCCTCTCCAGCTATTTCCAGTTTACCATTGATACCTACATGAAATACGTTTTCATTGAATTGATTGTAAGT